GGCACTGCCAGAAGGTGATAGTGGCTTTTTTAATTTTGTTGTCCAGATGCTTGTTCTTATTCAACTTGTTGTCCAGTATTACTCCCAAGTACTTGACTTCGGTTGATATTTGTAGTTCTGTATTAAAGAGTTTGGGTAGTAGGTAGTTACCCAGTAGTCTTTTGTTTGTAAACATTACTAGTTCCGTCTTTATTGGGTTTACCGATAGTTCATATGCCCTGCACCATCTTTCCACAATCCGGAGTGCAGCTTGTGTAATGTCGCAGAGTACATGGGCATAATTTCCTGTTACCAGTATAGCTATGTCATCAGCATATCCTACTGTATAGACATGTTCTTTGTTCAGTTTAATGATGACGTCATTTACGACCATGTTCTACAGCAGAAGCGACAGTACCCCTCCTTGAGAGCAACCCTTCGCTACTATGGCCCATGGGGTCTTATTTGCTGTTGTTTTTATTGTTCTTAATTTTAGCATGTTGCTAATCTAGCTGATGAGCACTTCATGCACTTCGTGCCTCCTCAGTGCTGACTGTATGCTGGAGAAGTTGGTTTTATCGAAGGCTCCTTCAATGTCGATAAAGGTGCCTAGGCAGATTGCTTTGTCTTTGAGGGCCACTTCTATCTTGCCCCCAACGGCATGTAGGGCCGATTCAGTGGATTTGCCTTGACTGTATGCATGTTGGTTTCCGTGGAGTGGTATGTTCTTAAGCGCTCCATCCCTCAGTTCTCTGTCACATAACCTTTCTAATGTTTTCAAGAAGAACGATGTGAGGCTGATTGGTCTGAAGGACTTTGCGTCAGTGTAGTCGTTTTTACCTGGTTTCGGTATAAATATGACTTACCTCTCTCCAGCTGTAGGGCACATAGCTGAACGCTAGACAGGCCTGAAAGATGTTGACCAGGTGCTGGACCAGTGTGTCCCCGCCCCATTGTAGGAGTGCGGGGAATACTCCATCTTGGCCCGGAGCTTTGGACGGTTCAAAGGTGTTTACTGCTCATTTTGTCTTTTCGTATGTTACTACTTGTTCAGCGTATCGCCAGTTATGGATCGATGTGTTGTAGTTCATTTCTTCGCACCTTTCGTCTTGAACGAACCTACATCCTGAGAAATGTGCTTCCAGTAGGGTTCTCTCCGTGTCCGCAGGGGAAGTTGTGTATATGTTGTCTATTTTGCGTATTGAACCTAGCTCAGTTGAATTTGAGTTGCCTAGGATTCTCCTTATTCTGTTCGCTTGTGCACAAGACGTGATGTTCCCGCAGTAGCCTCGCCATGACGCGGTGCTCCTGAATCGTATGCGCTTTTTTAGCTTGGATTTGGTCTTGTAGTTTTCCCAGTTCTCATCCGTGCATGTGTTCATTGCTCTGTTGAAGCGTCTCCTTACCCTTCTTCGTAGCCTCTTAAGCTCAGGCCCCCACCAGTGTTGGCCTTGCCGCGGGGCAGATTCCTTCAGTGGGCATGCGGAGTTATAGCTGCTCAATATGTTTGATGTCAGTTCTTTAACCTGTGTTTCTATTTGTGCTGTGTCCAGCAGTCTTCCCGGTGCTATCTATGTATATTTTACGATCGGGTTTTCAGGGATTCCGTTTCGGTTGTTGTTCTTTGATCGTTATTTCTAAGCTGAATCTTATCCATCTGTGGTCCGATGAAAAGAGAGAAGGATGCTTCTTCGGACACGTGCCAGTCTTTGACAACATTTACAGCTCCTTCGGACGCTAGGGTTAGGTCTATAATCGTCTTGCATCTTTTATTTACGAAGGTTGGTACTGTACCTTTATTAAGGATTTGAAGGTTAGTTGTGAATAATTATTCTGTTAGGTTCTTACCTCTGTCATTAGCAAGTTCCATGCCCCACAACGGATGGTGGGGTGGAGTCAGTAGCCACGACGATGTGCTGGCCGCTCTGCTCGCACTATTTGATTAGCCGTTCCATTTCCTACGGTGGTGGTACATCAGTCTCCGCCATATAGACAGAGGCGAGCACCACTTCAGGCAGGCCCGTGGCCGTGTCAGCTAAAAGCTTGACGGCACACAGGTCTCTTGAACAGAATTCTGTTAGTGGCTGTACATGTAAATTATTAGAGTAATATATGCAAGTTCGTGGTTTTTCTGAGATGGTAGTTGATATCAGCTTACCTCTCATTTGTGAGAGTCCATTTATTTGGCCGCGGGCGCTGATCCACGGTTCCTGGATCAGTGCCACGGCTGTGTTGTTTGCCTCCAACCATTTCCGGAGTTGGACCGTCGCGGTCTGGCTGTGGTGGAGGTTGCACTGGATGATTTATGATTTACTGAGCGAGTGGGTAACCGCCATCAGTGGACAGCAGCTCCTCGTCTTCGTCCTCGCTCAGTCGGATGTCTCTCATCCCCGACACGCACTCGTCCGCAGAGACGGGTGTCAGGGAGGGCTCCTTCCTTTCTCTGGTGATGTCAGAGGAGGTAGAGGGCTCCAGGGAGACATCCATCAGTGTTTTATTGATGCCCACCTTCTCAGGCGGCGTATTCGTGTACAGGCCCCTTTTGGATCTGAACCTGAGGTAGACCGTGCCTAACTGGAAAGTGAAGCGCTGGTCATCCCCCAGGACAGCCGGGACCAGTTCTTCGGGGAGGCTCACCACCACGAAGGTATGTCTACTTTGCTGCTGCAGCTTGTGGACAAACCAGCGGTGACCCCCGCCCATGGGTTTTGCCACTAGATCAAAGCTTTTGGCTAACTAGATCAAAGACCGCCAGGTACTCCGCACATAGGATTCCTTCATCCCTGCGTACGGCGCTCAACTGCGTAGGTATGAACGCAGGAGGGTGTAAATTAAGACCGCCCACCACTTGCCATGGTCCACCCCCAGAAACGCATGGCCGGGCCGTGTTGATCGCTTCGCGCCCTCACTGGCAAGACTCAGACTGAAGCCGAGAGTTGTCAATGTTGGCCCCAGGGTGTACAGGCTACATCCTTGGGCGTTCTGTGACAACGTGTTATCACAGAATGTTCAAGAACTTCGCGACGCGTGGAGGTGGAACAACTAACACACCCCAACAACAATAACTATATTTTTACATTCTAGCCCTTTAAGGACAAAAATGCAAGGTGACTCGAATTATGTGTCTGGGAGTGTGTATAATAAATATAACATGCTTTTGTACATCTGAGGTAGGTTTCTAGAAGTTACTGTTCATTGTTGTCAATGTTGTAAAGATAATAAATATATTTACTATCACACATTGGACTTAATGACATACACTGTTAAATTTGATTGACTCTGCTTTGTACACACTATGTCGTCTGATAATAGAGGCTGGCAACCTATTAGGCCTGCTATATTTAACAAAGAAATTTTACACATTTTTAGTCCTAACTCCATTGAATATTATAGTGTGAAACTATATTAATTCTAGGTGGCTGGATGACTATACCGCAAGGCCTCACCAACTGCCCTCCTGGTTTGGAATACCTATCCATGATTGATCAGCTACTGGTACACCAAAAAGTTGAACTTCTGGAAGCATTTACCGGCTTCGAGACAAATAATAAGTACACTGTAAAGAACAGTCTTGGGCAGAAAGTATACTTTGCAGTTGAAGACAATGATTGCTGCACGAGAAATTGCTGCGGTCCTATGCGTCCATTTGAAATGAAGATTATGGACAACTTTCAAAATGAGGTAATTGTTTTAAAATTTGAGACAATAAATTAGTCTCACAAGCCATTTATTAAGAAAACAAACCATTTATACAAAAGAGTTTTTTGTAGATATAGAAACCTTAGAAAACACTCATGATTTTCGTGATTGTTAGCCTAATAACAAGTGACACGCATAAATATTGATAGTAACTTGTATGTTTCTAGAATTATGGACTCAATATGACTATGGAGTGAGGAGATTAGAAATTGATCTGCCTACGAAATTATATCTACACTCTTAAAAGTGTGCCTTTTGTTGCAATGTTTCAAAAATCTTGATAGACTTTAATATCTTTGTCTTTGCATTGCCACTTACCAGGTCATTGGCTTTGTTTTATCCATAAGTAATGTAATCTGTATTAACTATGGTACGTAGATGCTCCCACTTGAAGTAGCTAACTAAATAAAAGATAATTATTTGTGAATTTATTAAGTCTTTGGTTACAAATAATAAATGCCATAAAATTTTGTTTTGTTTTGTTTGGTAAATATGTTATTAATATTTAATGGAAAGTTTTATCTCGTAATGTCTCATTTTTGTGTCCCTTACACTTTCCAGGTAATACATCTCCACCGTCCTCTAGCGTGTGACTCATGCCTTTGCCCTTGCTGTCTTCAAAACATGGAAGTGACAGCACCTCCAGGGACAGTCATCGGCTCCATTCAACAGGAATGGTCCATCTGCAAACCATGCTACAGCATCAAAAACGCTGCTGGTGACGTCATGTTAAGAATCAAGGGTCCGGTCTGCACTTTCTCTATTTGTGGAAAAGATGTACACTTTAATGTGAGTAATGATTGACTGATTTGGGCAGGTAACATCCTTAGATGCAGTAGTGGTTACACATGGAGATAGTCATTGGTGTTTGATTATCGGTGATCACAAATACAGTAGTGTTGTAGTAGGGATAAATAAGAACTAATTAGGACTATGGATGGTGAGAGCCAGAATGGCGTGTGTACCTTAACGAATTCTGACAAATTTATACCAAAAAATGTACTTACCTAAATTGTACTATTTAGTACCTGAGCCTAAAAAAATTGTGCCTCCATAAGAACGAAGTTATTGCAAAATCAAAGGTACACCCGCCATATTGACATCAGAATGGCGGGTGCTCAGATTACAAAACAATAGGCAGATGGAGCATACGCAACAAACGATGTAAAGCCGCTTTTCATTTAATACGAGCCCTGTACCCCACCTATGGTGGTGTATAGTTTCCGTGATAGGAGACTTTGAAAATTGTATTGCGGCCATCTTGTTTATTTGAATTTCGAACATTTTTTACTTCCGGCGGAAATTGACCAGAGTGTACCTCATAAAAGTGCACAAATATTCCCTCCATATATTGTAGTTTTTGCAGGCCGTTGCTCACTCTTTCAAATTTTCCACATTCAGGTTTTCTGATATCTGATTCTTTGCTTTGGAATCTATCCGCGTACAACGGTATAAATATCTTTTTTCCACCATATCGGGAAGTATGCGTTCTTTTTCTATCAGTGAGTAAGAACTAATGTGCGTGACAACTAGGAAGTGCACTGTGCACTGGACATGCGCATTTGTGTGCGTGTAAGATTGCCAGATACAACGATGAACTCGCGCATTTTTTTATGTTGCTTTTCCTAATACTAATATTACAAACTGGAAATGTTATTTTATGCAATAAAGGTACTTAAGTGGTACTATAGTCGTCACCAAATAAGAGGCCACATTTGACAGCTAAAGAAGGCGATAGTATGTAACTTTGCATGCGATCAACGAAACGATAAACAAACAATTATTAGCATAATTGAGTTTAAAAAA